TTGTTTAAGTCGGCTGATATATACAGTGTTTGGTTACAATATCAAACATTTCCCAGTCTCACACTACTTAAAAATATTCTACGTTTTTTTCTGAAAGTTTCTCTGTTTTTGTTAGGAGTGTATGACTTCATTCAGGCCTGTTACATCTTTCTTGTAACCATGAGATTGGAAGATTGAGTTTATCAGTCACCTTTGGACCCATCATCCCACTTGGACTCGTCTAAGTTTCTAATTTAAGTGCTTCATGCAGCACCATTACAATTGAGCTACAAACCTCAATTTATTTCTCCACATTGTTTTGTATTGTCAGAAAATTTAGTCTCTTCAGCCAATTCACTGTTATAGATAATAAACAGTTGAGACCCAAGCATTGATCCTTATGGAAGAGTCCCTCCATCCTGTTACTGCTCTACCAACTTTCCCCTCATCTACACAGCCAGTTATATCTTCTAAAAGGATAAGTTGTCAAACATGTCATCCCTTTCATAAATCTATGTTGACTCTGCTTAATCATATATAGAGTGTGTGAAGTGAGCTTTTACCGGGTTCGGAAAAATAGATTCCAGCACTTATTGTACTACTAATGTGATGTTGACTAGCCTAAAGCTCCCAATTCCCCCTTCCTTTTTTGTTGAAATCTTGGGTTTGTATTTACTATCTTCCAACCTATGCCTTCGTGTTTCTTTTCACAAGCAAGAACTCTAACATGTACATTTTAAAAAAAGAAATTCTATTCAAAATCTTTTAAAAGAATTACTAAGAAACTCACTGCCCTATATTCATATGAATATAAAACATTACTTTAGAATTTTTTTAATTTGCAATATACAGAAAGCTCCAAAAGCATTCTGTGTAAAATTTCAGACCATCATTGCTATAATAATGCCCAATACTGTTTTACTAATTTGGTTATTTGTTAAAATAATAGTGTGAAGATTGGGGCTACTGAATTTGGTATTGTTTATTTGTATATTCAAAAGGCATTTAATAAAAGTGCAAACTATTGGCTCACTTGCAAAATTAAAGCCCATGGATTAAAAAGTCAACGGTTGAATGGATACGAATTTGGTTAAATGGGTTACAAACAGACATTTGGTTAATAGTCGATTTTCAAACTGGAGGGACATTTTCAGTGCGTTGGTTTTGAACAGATCTTTTTGATATACATTATATGACTTGGATTTGGGTATTGAAGGCATTATTTAAAGGTTTGCAAATGCCAAAGTTCAGAAAGGATAGTGAAACAGACCTCAAGCAGTGTGGTCGTATTAGATGGCTAATAATTCAGAGGCATGAATGAATGCTCCAGAGGCAAATTCAAATTGAATTTAAATAAGTTAATTAAATAAATCTGGAATACAACAAACTAGTGTGAGTAACGGTGAGTATGAAATTACCAAATTTAAATTTAAAGTGGCATGTAGATCACTAATACCCTTTAGAGAAGCAAATCTTCTCACTTTAGCTCGCCCTGCCTACATGGACTCCAGACCAAAAGCAATGTATTTCATTCACATTTATCTTTGGAAATGGGTGCGCTAGCCACTTGTATTGTTGTATTGACATGTTATAAATAGAAAATTAAAAGTATGAAGCCAGATGTACCACCAGCATCAAGCTAGTCCCAGTTGCATCATGGGACACCCAGGCTTGATGAATCTGGAAAGTACCTCACTAATACCGGTCAACCAAGACTCTTCAAACAATGGCTTGAAATAACTATTATTTTTGATTTTGAAATTCTCATCTTTGTTTTCAAATCCATTTATGACCTTGCAGGTCCCCAGGTCAGTATTCTCTTCCAGCCCTACTGCCCTCTAAAATATCTGCTCTTGTCTAATTCAGATTTGAAGCATCCCTAGTTTTAATAGCTCCACCTTTGTGGCTGTACCATCAGTTGCTGAGGGCCAAGCTCTGAAATTCCCTCCTTAAAACCTATCTCATAACCAAGGTTTTTTTTTTAAAAAAAAAATGTCTGACCCAATATATCCTTGTGTTTTGGTGTCTTTTGTTCTAAAATGCTCGTGAAGCACCTTTGAATGTTAGATTTATTTAATGCCTTTATGTTGTCAGCCAATTTCCCCGACTCCTCTGCCATCAGTTATTACTGGGTGTACCCATCCAATCAACTAATATATCTATTAAAAGGCACTAGTGTATACATATAGAAGTCAGTCATCCTTGGGACATTCAATATGACACTGGATGCCATATAGTCTCATGGTATCATGGTTTCATGATTACCACATACCCCCTTCCCTTAACTAATCAGTATTCTATATATTGAACATCACTTGCTAATCACGTGACAAGAATACAATGTACTTAGGATAGGGTACTTGCATCCAACACCACATCCCCTTGATTTCACCTGGTTCCTGACCTTGTCATTCCTATTGCAAAATATCACTCGAGGAATTGGAAATGATTGCAGAATCTAAGTGTTGAGATTGTTTCTGTTATTACTACAACATTATAAAGGAGGGCTGAATAGATGTACAATGTGAAATGAGACAAAAAGGTGAAACAGAGTACAAAACAGGCAGATAGATCCAAAGTAACAGCAAAAAGAAACACAAGGTCAAAGTAACTGAGTTCCAGGTAACTTATGACAAACTTTGGACCAGGAAATCTTTGAATCTTCAGTCAAAAAGCAAAATGATCTACAAGTACAAAATAAAAAGAACTACAGATGCTGGAAATCTAAAATAAAAACAAAGTGCTGGAGAAACTCAGCAGGTCTGGCCAGTACCTGTGAGAAAGAAACAAGACTTAAGGTTTTTTCTTCAAATCAGTAACCCTTCAGCAGAACTCCGTCAGATAGAGCAGCAGAATTTCAAGGTCTTTGAGGGGTCACTGGACTCAAAACATTAACTCTGGTTCCTCTCTCTAAAGATGCTGCCAGACCTGCTGAGTTTCTCCAACACTTTGCTTTTGTTTCATGATCCACAAGCAGCAGATCATTATGGTTTCAGCCTCAGATTCCAAAGCACCATCCCTTGACATTTCATGCTGACTTCATAAACACCCCCACAAATAAAAAGGTAAATGAAACTTCTGAATAACAACAGGCCAAAAGAGAAATGAAGTAGCCACATCAGTTCACTACAGACAACATACACAGAAGAGTACTCCATGCCCTGAATAACCATTTAAAGACTAGAGAATATATATTAACCACAAAATCCCTACAGTGCGTAAGTGGGCCTTTCAGCCCATTGAGCCCACACCAATCCTCTGAAGACCATCCCACCCAGACCCACTCCCCTACCCTATAACCTTGCTAATCCACCTTGTCTGAACATCCCTGAACACTACGAGCAATTGAGCATGACCAATCCACCTAACTTGAACATCTTTGGACTGTGGGAGAATGAGTAAACTCCACACAGGCAGTCGCCCCAGGGTGGAATCGAACCGGGGTCCCTGGCGCCGAGGCAGCAGTGCTAATGACTGGGCCACCGTGCCGCCCCAATAGAAGTACTTTGACTGTTAAAGCTATTTTCCGCACCTTCGATTGCATTAATAAAAAGTTCACCAACAGGATTTACAAATGCTTTTAACACTACTACAAGTATCAAGTGCAACCAAATTTTGGTAAATCCCAAGAATAAAATTGGTAACAATATGAAAACTACTCAACAACTTCAACTCAATATTTTGCGAGTATCCTGGGCTTAAATCTCGCGTTTGTTGCCTGCAATTAAGTAGCGTTGCTCAATGGGGAACAGTCATGGAACTAGACAGTTCTAACGCATATGCACTAGAATAAATAGATACAATAAAGCTTTTAAGTATGAGGATCGGTTTTATGGTCTAAAAAAAACTGCCCGGATTTTAAAATCGAGCAGTAGAAACATTTCTAACACTTTAACGAAGGCATCTGTGATTAATTCAAGTCGATTAACAACATTTAACACACTCTTTCTCGAAAATCATGAGCTGCTCTTAATTAACTTATTTTCTTTAGCATCATCGGGTTACCGGCGAAAACACCAACATTATAATTTATTCTGTGATAGCACAGATTGATATTACCGAGAACATTGAAGCAGTATTTTTGCGTTGGGAGCTTTGAAGACGATCTGAAGGGAAATCAGTTTTAATGTGTTTTAAATTGACAAAGCCTGTGCTTTTGGTCGTATCTTTACTGGATTTTAAAAGGAATGCACGCTCAGTTAAAGGAGAGCTCCAAGATACCCTGTTTTCTTGCAAAAAAAAATGCTATGCTCCACATCAATCAGAACATCAGGTGCATTGGTTTTGTTGTTAATAACAGGTGTTTACGTAGCTCTTCTAAAGCTATGTAAACCTTTGTTATTTCCAAACCAAGATACTGAACATAATGGAAATTATATCAAACAACATGCAAATCTAAAATAAGGCGGAATTAAAACCGCATTAGTAAATAATTTCATTCTGTACAATTATTCTGGAGATCAGATGAATTTCTGACATCATGCCCTATATAGGTATTTAATGAAAGCTCAACTCCTCTTAATTATGTGTCAATTAATATCAAGTAATTTGTACGGTTTATCTTAATTAAAGCTGCTGAAAATTGTTATCGTTCTGCCAATGATACACTCGACAAGGCTTTTCTACAATTTATACTGAATTAATAAAAAGATTTGGTCAACCAGTATAAAATATCGACAATACAAAACAACGTATACGATAAACGCACAAAAAAAATGACATTTTAACATTTGAGTCGAAAATGCAACGCTTGACAACCGTTTTCTGTAAACTGAAACATTTTCCGAGCACACAGCCCCTAAATCAACTGTCTTACATACAAGTATTTTTAAATAATGCTGTTTCTATTGCATATTATGTCACATATGCTTAAAATTATAGACCAAAATTATTTACCAGTACCAAAGCTTCAAGCTACATTCTGTGCGCTTACCAAACGGCTGTCATTTATTAACTATTCACGTACACGATTAAGAAAAACATGGGATTTGAAGAATCTTTCTTGCTTTCCCCTTTCTCACCCTAATCGACGGCACGATGCATTTGGCGATTTCAGATGCGAAACAATTCGGCTCACTGCTGTTCAGAGGCTACATACCAACATTTCTCCAAATTGTAATAGTTTCCCCATTCACCACCATTAAAACCCAGCTATCGTACAACTATTTCGGCGGGGCAATCCTAAACACAGCAATTCAGTGGCGTTTTTACGTCGATTCCTGTAAACCTAATTTTTGCCGACTTCCCCGGAGGTTTCCATTCTCAACACAGAATATCCGAAGGAATTTAAGATATTTGCGCTATAAACCTTTCACAGATCGGATGTATTTCGCTAAGAGCTTCGAGATCTGTTTTCGGCGATGAGCTTTTTGACACAGGTTTTCCCGTTCGGCTGCACTTCAAAACGACACACAGATTCACCTAGTGGTAACTGGATAACTTGCACCTCCCTAAACTGCCATTTTCTAGTTTTACCTTTTTTTGCAGTACCATAGTGGAATCTTGGTGATTTTCTTTTAAATCATTGGATCTAAAACATGTTGTTCATTTTTTAAAAAAAAAGAGCCCGCTCTGAAAACTGAAACTCAACCTTTGTTTTGAAAAGCAGAAAAAAGACCCAAAATGCAGTGAGTTTATTAAATGGCGGAGTAGACTCGAAGGGCCGAGTGGCCTATTCTTGTTACAAACTTGTATATGTGGGAGTTAGGGGCTGAAAGGTGGTTTTCAACACTCAGCGACAAGTAGCAGACTGAATATATCACTCCACAGTTTAGTATACAGGCGATTAAAATGAATGTGGAGCAGGATTTAGGTAATTCAGATCGATACTTTCGGTCTGTGGCTATTTAGCGATGCGATGGGAATACTTCAATTTGTACGTGAAGGAGGATTAAGGGGCTAATTTTAACATAATTTACTTTTATCCAGTTAAGTGAGCGGAAGCAAAAAGCGGTTGTGTGAAACTTTAGCTAATCAAAACCTGTCGATTTTACGGTGGGCGGGTTAGATTAATATTATGTCCCAAATCTTTGAAAATATGGGAGAGGAGTGAAGACTAATCACAATGAAAGAGCAAGTCGAAATTAATAAACTTGGTGATTAGAGAGGGACGTATCTCAGAGTATACAGAACCAAATTCAAGGAGTGGGAAAATTATGAACTTTAGTAAGGAAATAGAAAGGAAGAGAAGCATTTGGCAAAACTGATCTGAATTATAAGACGTGTGTAAAATTTTAGTCAGAACTGAGGCCTTGTGACACTTTGGAACTGTTGACCTTTTTTCATAGAAGGACTGACATTTATCTGTTGCTCTTTTTAAACAATATGTATTCCTTTTTGTTTGAAATACCAGGATTAAAGATGGTTAAAACATCAAATGAGCTGATTATCAAAGGTGTTTTGCAAAGCATAAAGATAATAAAAGGACTCTTGTGACAGAGTGGTGGTCCTACCTCTGGGCCAGAAGGATGGGTTCAAGTCCCACACATGCTCCTGATGTGCGTCATAATGTGGCTGGACAGATTGATTAAAAATATCTACAATGTAGAGGTGAAGTCTCTCAAGTCTGACTTTACAAATCTTGAGGCACAGCGATAGCACCCCCCTTCTTTGTCAGAAGGTCTGGATTCAAGTTCCACCTGCCTTGGAGAAATGTCTGAATAGGTTGGTTAAAATAATTATGAATATTGCTTTTAGGGGGTCTTGAGGCTAGTGGTGGTGGTGCTAACACTTGAGCTATAAGCCTTGAGTTCAAGTCCTACCTGCCAGGAAGTATATCATGTGGCTGAACATGTTGGTTAAAAATATCTAAAGATATTCAGAAAACTGTTTACCTACTTCATTAACCTGAGTGTAGGGAATCCTCAGCTCATGCAGTTAGATGGAAAGCTGTTTTGTAATGCAGAGTGACGCCAACAGTGTGGTTTCAATTCCTGCACTGGCTGAGGTTACAATGAAAGTGTCTCCTTCTCGGGTGTGATGACCCTCGGGTAAAATCACTACCAGTCGTCTCTCTCTAATGAAAAGCAGACAGATGGTCTGCTAGGACTATGGCAACTTTACCTATTTACACTTACGCATGAGCCATTGAGGGAAAATGAGTATTAATTTCAGGGGGTCACAGAATGCTTATAATTGTTTTGAGGAAATTATGGTTTACATAAAAAGGAACATGATGGATCTTTATACAGGTAGATTTTTAGAAGACATTTGATAAAGTATTACATACAAGACTTGTCATGAAAGTGTAGGTGCACAGGTAGATGCCTAGTGAGGAGTCAGATGCAATGAGTAGTACTAGATTGAGAGGTTTTGGGCAGTGGGCTTTTCTATGGACAAACAAAAACTGAAATTGCTGGAAAAACTCAGTATGTCTGGCAGCATCTGTTGAGAGAAAACTGAGTTAACCCCTGTGAGGGTTCCTCTGAAAAAGAGTCACTGGATTCAAAACCTTAACTCTGCTTTCTCTCTACAGATGCTGCCAGAGCTGTATTTGAGTGTCTCCAGCAATTTCTGTTGTTTTTTTTTGTTTGTTTCAGATCCCCAGTATTTTTTACTCTCGTGTTTTCTCTGGATCTGTATTTGAGATGAGTTTTGCTTTTGATTTCGATAAGAAAACAATAGGAATAATTTAAGAACAAAAACAGAAATTGCTGGAAAAGCTCAGCAGGTCTGGCAGCTATGAAGAAAAATCAGAGTTAACATTTCAGGTCCAGTGACTTTTCCTCAGAACTGGAATAATTTAATGCTTTCTCAATGCTTCAGTTTGGAATGCATCGCAAACTGCAAGAAAAAATGACAAAGATTGCAGGAAGATAAAGGAAAGTTAGCAAAGTAGCCAGGGCAAATAAGGATCAATGCACCAAATTTTAAGTAGCCCATTTTGTGAAATAAAATGAAAGAAAACTTGAATTAGAAATATTCTTAAATGGGGTCGGGAATGAGAGATATATAGGATTATAATACATAGTCATTGAAGGTAGGAAGAAAATACCAATTTTTAAAATATATTTAATGTTCCTTTGTATCAAACCCAAGAGATTATGTTGAATTTATACAAGACATTGATTGATTAAGCCACAGTTTGAATAGTGAATGCAATTCTTAAAATCTTTTTTATGAAAGATATGAATTAAAGAAAACATGTAGCCATCACTCTCACAAATAGCATTTTCACACAGTTTATTCTTATTCTCACAGGAATAGCAAGAATAGGATAACCAAATGTAATAATGTAAAAACATTCAGAAAATCTACAAATTCTGAAAATCAATTTAGAATGCAAAGTGATGAGTACATGTCTGAAAAGTCAGAATCTGCCTTTTCTCTTGACAGACGTTGATTGAACATTTTTATACAGTATTTCCCATCAGATTCTGCTGCTTATTTTTGAAAGAATGAACCTTAATCACAGTGCTTTCAGACACATGCTAAAACATCAATTAAAAGCAAAGTGGCATAGCATTAGAAAAGAGATTTGAGGAACCAAGAAAAGAACTAGATAATTCGGATTAACCTAGACAGATCTACATAAATAATAAATGGGACAAATATGATATGCTGAATTGCTTACTTTTTTATATTCTATGACCTAGTTCTTTTCCTCCAGTACTCCTACCATTGCACATAGCTTTATTCAGGCTGTCTTGAAATAAAATATGATGTCACATCAGCGTGTTGTCACTAAAGTAATTCTGTTAAAAACTGTTACAAAATTACTAAATATTAAAATGCAGTAAACAATATGACAAAACTTAGATCTATTCTTGTCCAAGAAAGTGTGCAATTATGAATGATACTCTTCAACAAGAGCCCAATGAGAATGTTTGAATTAAATCATGAATTGTGTAAATACTGTCCAGAGATGGAAGACCAGTTTGACCAGCTGCATGAGCACTGAAGCAAATTTAATTTGTTTAATGGAATGGAGATGATGAAAGTGAGAATGATTTCACTGAAGCATATTATAAAATGTTAAAAGTCGCTTGAACGGAAAAGCTTCCTCAAGTAGTTAATTGTTACCTAACGTTGTAGGAGTCTGGATGCATTTGAAAGGGTTAAAATGAGACTGAGTGCAACAAGCACCACACACTGTGATGATGTCACAAGGACTTCTTGAGAAAGTCAAGTAGGATCTCATGACAGATAGACCTAAGGCTAGGTTCTCTAAACAATTTTTATAGTAATGTAGAACCTATTCTAACAACTGATAAATAGTTGCAGAAAGGCAATAAATGACATCTTGTTTACTCTACAAGGCTTTCATTGTTCAATCATACTAGACCATGTAAGCCCCTAAAGCACCCACACACCTAGGAGCTGAGGATGGCAGTACACACAACATATATAATTAAAGTCCACCAGCTTAGTATTAACCCTTAGATTCACATGCAGAAAAAAAAAATTGTAATGTTGGCAATTATTCTTTTTTAAGTGATAAAGAGAAATAAATTAAATAGCTTACTTTTCAAACTCCTGTGCATGTGGGCAGATGTTTTTAAAAATTTTTGAATCAGTCTGTTCAGATGTTTTCTGACATATTTTTGGAGCAGATAGGACTTGAACCCAGGTTTCCTGGCTCAGAGGTAGAGACAGTACAACTGCACCACAAGAGCCTAGAGATGTTTTTATTCTCATATTCACAATATATTTTGGAAAAGTTTCATCTGGTCCTGATGGAAATATTTATAAATATGTATTATAATTAATGGATGGAAATGCAAAAAGCAAAAGGATGTAACATTTGATATTCTGTCATTTTTTGTTTAGTTACTTTTGGGAGCCCAGTAACCTTGCAAAATGTGAAGATTCATCTGTGGTTATTGATCTCCCTCTAGAGGTTAAACAAAGTTGGAGGGTGTCTTCTAACAACACGATTTGTATATGATCTGTTGGAAGGCTATACACAGTTGGCCGTAAAGCTCCTTTGTGTTTCTATTTTTTTTAATAGTGTATCGAATATTTATAAGTATAACAGAACTGCTGCCTTATTAACTTCAGTAATGATTGAATCCAAAAAATTCCAGAGCTATCTGACCTAACAGATACTGCATTGGGAGATGTTGTATTAGGTAATACTACAGGAGAATAATGTCACAGATTTTTTTTAAAATAGCAACCTATTACAAAAGCATAAATCATGAAAATAAGAATTAAATGAGCTGTCAAAGATGCATTATCTTCAAACTCATGCTGATAAAACATTATTCTATGCTTAAGAAGAGGTGGATCCCTCAAAACCGTCACGAACCAAACAAATTCATACACAATACGATTTTATTAAAAAGAAAAAAGGTGTATATTTTCTAATGGTATCTAACATATTGACATGTTCTTCAACCATAATCTGGCAGGTATGGGTTAAATTGCCACTGATTGTGTAATTAACTCCCATTGCTCTATTCAGGGCATGTCTTGTATTTGTTATATTTCTTAACTGTTTCTCAATGCTTCCA